TCTCTTTCTCTCTTTCTCACACACACACAGAGAGAGTAACATTTTCTTTGCTTACTCACTTTTTTTTATTTATTTATTCAGTTGCTTATATGTAATTTCCCTCTTTTTCCCTTTGCCCCCCCTCTCTCCCTCCCTCCCTTCTTCGTCTCAGGCTCACCCCCAAACGCGACAGGGGACGCTCCTCACCTACATCCTGTCCGGGCCGTCTGACTCGACAGGGATAGGTTGCGCTCGGCGATGAAAAAGTAGCGAGGCCGTTGGGATCTTTTTTGGGAAGATGGGATGGGATGGGATGACTTCTTTGTTGTCCGTACGGCACGAGAACGAAGAGGGAGGGACATGTGGACAAGTAAACAAGTGCCTTGTAAGTACGGTATACCTGGTAAATATGTAAATAGTCCGTTCTGTCAGGGTCCAGACCAGCACGGCCTGTGTGCTATATGGAGCTGTCAGGTTCATCCTGGAGTCGAGTTGCTGTCATGTCGCAGCAATCTGCCATGTCATTCCGCATGCTTCCACTGGTACCGATCGGTGAGTTGTGCCAACCTCGCTGCAGTGTCTGTAGATCGCCATATCAAATACGCACAGCACATAAAGTCCGTGACCAACCCATTTCGCAAAAGAGCATCCGTCCCGTCCTGTCCCGTCACATGCCTGACCCTGTCACCGTTTCACGTTGTTCCCATGTGCTAGCAGAGACTGGATCTCGCCGCTCGCTCAGTAGTATGTGGCATATTTGGAGGTGCCGTTCAGGACCTGGACGAAATTCTGCGCGATAATCCGGTCGGTTTGCTCGCTTGAGTTAAAAAGTGCACGAGTTAGTCTTCCTCTACCAAAAGGGGACATCAAGCTTGGTAGTTAACTCCTCTCGAATTGCTCGCGCTCACATTCACATTCACATTCACAATGCCAGCCACTTACAACATGTTCCTCGAAAGAGCGGGGGAATGTGAGAGGAGGATCAGAGATATGAGATGGAAAATTGGAGATGGATAGATAGGGGAGAATGGCTCACCTGGGATGTAGCTCGTCAAACCACAGATATCCGTCCGGATTCGTGCCATTCTGCCTTTGCACACACGTCTTCTGGTCCACGGTACAGTGGTTCTCGTAGCCCCAGACGCTCTCGCCGCCCTTGGCCACACCGGTCCCGTTCAGATACTGGGTCGGGGAGTTGTAGATGTCCGTGATGAGCGCGTGGGTGTCGAAGAGGGCGAAATGGGCACCCGGGTAGCGCTTCGCCACCAGGAGCTCGTAGGGGGTCTGGTACTTGAAGACGTTGTTGACCGTCGTGGTGAACTGCCGCATCGTGTACGCGATCTCGGTGTGGTTGGCCGGCTTGTTCGCCCAGTACTGGTTGGCGCCCACGCCGTGGAGCGTGTCGTTGGCGTACAAGGGAGCCAGGTCGAGGGGCGCCGTGTTCATGAGCACAAAGTGCCGGGCGCCGCTGGCGTAGAGCTTGTCGAACACGCTGTAGATGCACGATGTGTAGTCCGAGAGCACCTTGCCGGGGACTTGCGAGTCGGTGATGAACGCCCACACGCCGAGGTCGTTGGTGCCGATCCACAGCGCGTAAACGGCGTCCTGAGCTGTCAAGTTTGGCGAAAAGAGCTGCACGGCGGGGGTGGAGTTGACTCGCGTCGCTGGGATGTCGGCGATGAAGGCCGGGATCTCGTACTCCAAGACCGAAGGGAAAGGCGCATTGATTGCAGGGAGCCACCTAAATAGGAGTATCTGGTCAACGTACCGCCTGACAACGCACACCACTCTTTCAGTCCCAACACGAACCTTGGCGTGATGTCGTTGGAGCACACAGCGCCCGAGACGGCGTAGTCATAGAGCGTCATATGAGGAGTCCACTGGCCCTGCACTGTCGCTCCGGTGTACTGGACGACGTATCTGGGCCAATTTCTGCCGCCGCTGGGGGCACTAAACGTCTCTGGGAGCAAAGTGCCGACAGGCGGGGCAGAACCATTGTGATTGATGAACCATCCCAGGCGAGATTCATCTGTATAACTGTCGCCAAAGGTGATGAGAGAGTTGAAGTTTTGAAGCGACCATGGTTTGTTGCTGCTCTGGCGGGGGACAGCTGTGCTGGTGGTCGACGTGACCAGCAGAGACACTCCAAGGGCGAGAAACCCTGCAGGAGAGTAGAAGAACTTCATTCTGGAAGTACACTCCACCTTGGGTCAGTAGTGAATTTCCCCTTGACACATTCGGCAGGGCAGAAATCGCTGCCGGAGAAGGGTTTTTATACCCATCTTCTCCCCCTCTTTTACAGAACTGCACCTAGCTCACTCTGACTTCGACCTGGGTCAACGTCACGGGAAAATTTCACAAAATGCTCCATTTCCAACGCGGAGTATTGTCGGTAGGACGGGTGATGCGGGAACAGAGAAAGCTGCATCGTCGTCCAATGACGATAGATGGTGGACACAAACACCAGGGAGGCGGCGGCGCGGTTAAAGGGTAGTGAGGAGGGTTGCAGGAGACGGGAAAGCTTGATTCCACGCGTCATTGACGTTGGAGCTTGACAGCATTGGATGCTGATGTTGACGCCTTGCTGGACGGGGTGAGTCGACGTGGTCGAGTTGTGCCGGAAATCAGCCTGAAAGGATGTTCGCCTCATCCCCCGCAGTTGTTGTGGGCAAGTGGAGGTGCGGAGGATCCCAAAACAGGGTCGGAGTCGTGATCCTCCTCTGGTCGTTCCCACCAGTCACAGATCAACGGTAAAAGGAGATTCAATCGCTTGAACTTTGGTAGAAGAGATGGATTCGAATCTAAACCAACAGGGCGCAGGCTTGGAAGGAAACGAGGCTGTCAACCTTGCGAGGTCTTGGCATTCCCACCCCTATCGAGCCCCCCAACCTTGAAATCATGAGCAACGAAACAGAAAAGCGTCCGAGGGTCGGGGAGCGGTATTTATTGTCTGTCAAAAAACTGATCCAGAGCAAGAAGGTGATGCTCACTGCAGGGAATCCGAGCGTGATCAATAACCGCAACTCCATATCGCCTTGACATATCGCCTTGACTTATCTGGTGAACGATAATCCGCCCCTTGATGCCTCACTTTTCCTCAGCCAGCTTCCGGGCTTGGGCAGCCGTGATACGCTCTCCCGTCCTGTCATAGTGCTTCGAGGCCAGAATCTGCCATTTTTTCTTGTCGTAGTTGTCGGCCCATGCTTTCAGACTGTGCGGTGACGAGCCAGGTTTCTTCGCTTTCTCGTCCGCCTTCGTCTCATCATCCTAGCTGCAATTAGTGCCGCGAGTTGGGAAACAGTATTTGTTTGCTTGAGCATACCTTCTTGTCAGACTCGGTGCAGTCTTGTTTCTGCTCCTCTGCCTTCTTTTCCTCTTCTTCCTTCTTGGCTTTGGCAGCCTCCCTTTCCGCTCTCCTCCTCAAGCCTTCCTCACGGTTCCGCTTGGCTTTCTCCTCTTTGTCTGGAGCCTTTTCCTTCTTGCCTTCGCTCGAGGTATTCTTGTCGTTCGCTTCGGGTCGGTGGCTGATATGTTTCCAGCGTGCCTTGAGCTCACCTACGTTCTTGAAGTTGGTGGTCACGGCGAGGATCTCCTTCCACTGCGCTTGCGGATTCTCGCCTTTCATGCGTAGCAAGATCCGGTCGTCCTCGGTAAGATCAGAGTCATCCTTCTTGTCTTTTGATGATGTGTCAACATTGCCGCTTTTGCCGTTGTGGTCCGTGTCTTTGGCATCTTTTTTTCCTTCACACTTGCTGTCCTCCTCTCCCCTGTCCTTGATGTGAGCCTTGCCGCAGCATGAACACTAAACCAATCATCAGTATCTCCTGCCCGATGTAGAGCCCATTCAAGACGTAGAATGTGAGGTCCTTTGTAGCTGGGACCTTTACCGTTTTTGGTTTTCTCGGCTTCGGATCGGGGACGCCCTTCATGGCGTCCCAGATGGACATTTTGATTGGCACTTGCCTGCCATCAGGCTTGGTGTACCACACTGTGAAAGACATTGTGACAACTAACGAGACACTTCCCGAGTCGAAGCGTGAGTGTGGAGTAGCCTAGACGTGCGATAGGTGACAGAACTGAAAAGATAACAGAGGCGTTGAATGAGGAACATACGGGGTCGTGGAATGGAAAAATTTACTTGCAGCCTCAGAATATTGTCACATATGTCTGGCAGATCCATCCGAGTGAAGATGGTGTCACTTTGCTCATTGTGTTATGCGGGAGGCATGTGGTGATCAGCCAGCACACATAACCAGTAGGAAGTGCCAGACGACCGCCAAGCTACGTTGGCCTTCATGTCATCGCTTGGATGACAGTTGGAAAAGTAAGAATCTCTTGTCCATTGGGGGAATCTCTAGTTGTTCAGAACTGCGGACACGTCGTTGTAGAGCTGGAGTATGAGTATCGACGTCGAGAACCGTTAGTCTTCCGGGGCCTTTTTCTCTGGCTTTACTTCCACAGCCTCTGTCAATACAGACTTTGTCTGCTGGGGAGATGAGGAAAGGGTGAGGAACAGCTCGGAACTTTTCGTCAAGATCCGACCAAGGAAGTCGGCCACGTCCTGACGCCTGTAGAGTTCGGCGCATTCAAGAGCTGTCTTCCCGGAAGAATCCAGGTTTATCTAAATCGGCGCCTTTTTCCAATAGATATCGGACGACGTCCAGACACCCTTGCCTAGCTGCGGTATGAAGGGGACTGCCGAAGCCGGGTGGATATTGTAAGTTAGTTGAAGGTACGTCGTTCTGATACATAACCTCGTTGATAGGCGCGCCTTTGTTGACGAGATAAGCCACGACCTCGACACTATCTGGTAGCTCACGCCCAGCGGCATGGTGAATTAATTGTCCTTTAGGGATCGAGCCACCATGGGCGAAGAGGGTCTCGATAATATCGAATGACGCAGACTGGACGGCATAAGAGAGTGTGGTTATGTCCGACACACATTCAGCATTGGGATCTGCGCCCTGAGAGAGAAACCAAGTAAACTAAGTCTACATTCTCAAAGGTCAAACTGGCCGTTTTTAGAAGTATGACTTGATCTCAAATGTCGGCGGAGTTGACCATTTCAACTGTTCGTTGATATCCCATCCATGCCTGAGGAATAATTCGAGCAGAGCCTGGTCATTATTATCGGCGGCAATTTTAGCAAGGAAATCACTTGGGTAAGAGCCTTGGTTCAGAAGATATTTGGTAGAAGCCCTTTGACGATTCCGAACTGCATTGAACACAATACTCGCTGAGTGTGAAATCCAGTAGTCACCGAAGGGGGTACCGCGTAACTGATCGAATATGCGCTGCACTGTAGATAGATCTCCTTCTCTCGCCGCCTGTTCCATATCATCGAGGAGATTACGATCGGGAGGTGATGGGATGGGTAGGCTTCACCACCTCCTTCTCTCCTAGACCAGCGGTGAAGTCAAAGACGTCCTCGAGTTTGTAGGGTAGAGACTTTTCCCAATCCTCGATCTCTTTCGGATCTGGAGTATACACCAGTACCGGATTCTGGACCCGGCCCCAGTTAGCCAGGAGTTCGTTGAAGCGCCGATCCATGATGAAGCCTCTAGCGATATGTAGTTGGATGAGGTTAGTATTGGGTTTTCCACTGGGCAACTAAGCCATTCACTCCGCCTCAATCTTTGTTTGACAGCACCTCCACGGCGCAGATGAGCACAGTTGCTTGTATGGGTATGAGTGGCTGAAAGGGGGCCAAGACAAAGCGCTGATATAAGCTAACACTGATCTAGCTATATTTGTTTAGCGTCGGACGGCCCGCCTGCTAGGAGGCTCAAAAAGATACTCGTTTTGTCTCTTGGCCGTTATAACTATAAGGCTCGTGCCGCCCTCTTTGTGAGCGCAGACCCCAGGACGACCACTGCATCACCTGTTACCCGTCGCAGGAGGCCACCCTGACCCTCTTGGAATTCTTAACATCGAATCACTCGGGAGGAAAGTGATCGAATATGAGATATGAAGGCCACATTATATCTTGTTGGGCGGTTAGATAAGGCGTCAGGTAGTACAGGCAACTGCTCCGAATAACGCCTGCCATGTGGCAGCCAAGACATAGTTGTATCCAGTACCTTCGACTCCTACTACTTCATCATCCTTGTACGTATTGAGCATTGTGCCATCTTCAGACTCTCCATCTAGAAGAGTTCTCTGCTCAATTGAAAACCCGCAGCTCGTGGCAACCACTGTCATTGGTGACCATTCGGCGGAAACCCCGAACCATGGCGCCGACCATCTACCAGCATGCCCAAACCAACGACCGCACCATCTATGTCCCTATGAACCGAGTGGATATTGCATTCTGGTCACGAACCGACTATCTTTACACTGATAGCCTCAACGGATGCACTGCCGTCATCATCATCTCCCCGCACGCTGGCATTCTCGCACACATTGCGCCAAGACCATCAGGCGCCGAGCTCAATCGCGTCAACGCTGAAGATGGCGATCGAAACCTCCGCGAGAAGATGCAACAGGTGATTGATCTTTACAACGCGAATAGGCAGTACTTTCAGGATGCGAGGACTCGTGTCGTCGTGGCCGTCTACCGGTATTCTATTGCATTACCAACCACAGTCAATACGATAGACGCCATCCTGAATCATCTCAGACTTCCGATCAGAACCAACCACTACGATGTCCTAGAACCTAACTCGCAGCGTCCCTTTGGTCACACATATATTGTTATCGCTTCTCGAGGCTCTGGATATTGGCCCACACTGTATGTCAATGAGCGGATGGTTGAATACCTCTGAGCCAGTCGAAGAGGCAAGGAAGAGCTTGGTTGAATCATAGCCCACAGAATGGAGTGCAACTCTTGGTTCCGGTCGACCGACACCGTGCAAAGACGTTTCGATCTGCAGGTGTACCACAATACACCACTCCGCGATCCGTCGGAGAAGCGGACGTTTGAGCTGCAGAGGCCTACTTCAACGCCAACCGACTGAATCCACATCACCCTGACATCGAGGATACTCGGCGATACAGAAAAAATCCACCTGTGTGCCTGCTTATACAGCGCGGTCTCTCATGCTTTGGAGGGCCCAGCACCAATCGAGCCGACTTGGCGCAACGGCAGCACTTCCTTTACTTACGAAGACTGGAGAAAGTTCACTGCCCGAGCGGGGTGGCATGCATCATACCTTACGCGCTCTGTCGGTGCGTCTCCTGAAATGTGGATTAGTTTTGAAAAGATTCTGTCCCTCTGAAGCTTACTACCTGTGCAGTCTCTGAGGCGCAAAGTACACAATATGCAGCGTGAAAGGGTTCGAGGGACGCCTCTGCCTGGAGAGAGCCATCGGAAAGCGAGTGCTTGAAAAAGAGTGCAGGGACAACCGGTCCACCGCTGAAGTTGGTGAGACTACCCAGAATTTCATCGACACGAAATTCTCCGGCGCAACAGACCTAAGAGACAAAGTCTATGCGCTGTTAAAGACGGAGAGAGGGGCACAGAGAGAGAGAGCCTAAACAGGTGGTAGTGGTGGCGCGCCAGAAACTGCACAAAAAGAATACAGGCCGAGTTCCTCTGGATCACCCGCATCCACAGGGCCACATCAACTAGCTACAACGTTTTATTTGCTGCGTAACATCGATGGCCAACTTTATTGCACACCCGACACCAGTTACCTGCCGGCTGCTACCTACCGGCTACCGGCCAGCATGCATGCATGCATTATTCCACAGTGATGCCATCAGACTCTGGCGGTCCCTTGTACGCCTTGCGGGCATAGATAAAGTACCAGACGGCAGAGATGAACATGAAGCCGACAAAGACGACGCTGGCATAGTTCATGGTCACGACCGTGACGGGCAGCGCCGAGGGCATGCTGAACAAGACGACCTCAAAGCTGATCCAGCACAAGGCCACGCCGTTCGCGATCGGGCCGATGATGCGCCCACAGTTCCACCGCGCCGTCGACACTTCGCGGCGCCGGTGCAGCACGCTGATGGTGATGGGGATTGCGTACGACACGGCCAGCCCAATGACGCCGACCGACACAAAGGCCAAAAAGGCCGATGATGACCCAAGATAGATCAGACCGAGCAGCATCTGCACCACGGTGGTGAGCATCAATGCGTACACGGGCACGCCGAGTCCACCGTGGACTTTGGACCAGACCCGAGACAGTGGGATGGCATCATCCCGGGCAAACGCCCACGTACATCGCGACGCCGCCGTGGTGATGCTGATGCTGCAGAACAATGTGATCATCAGGACGAGGAACTAGATACCGAGTTAGCGACAGCGAAGGTGAAAAATGACAAGAGTCTCATCCTGAAAGAGGATCAAGGAACTTACAATGAGGCCGAGTCCACCTCCCGGTGTCCCCATGACCGTGCTGAAGATGTATGGGAGCGCCTGGCCGTATGGCGCTGCAATGACATCTTCCAACGGAGGCAGGGTGAAGCAGATGGGCAGAATGAAGAATAAGCCGGCGAAGCCACCCACGGGCACACAGAGACTGATGGCTGTCGGAACCTTGACGGTAGGATTTGCGCACTCTTCTGCCATGGCTGAGATCATCCCGATAGCCGAGAATGTGTATGCTGCAGGCAACAGACCGATGAAAAAGGTGAAGCCTCCCCAGCCGGAGAAAGACTTGTCGTAATGGCCGAGCGCGTAGCTTGCGCTGTGTCTCCCGACATCTGCCTTGACCGAGAGTGCGATGAGGATAATCAGGATGCTCACAGCTGTCCATGCAGCGCAGATGGTGTCGACAATGGGCAGGAAGCGGTTCGCAAAGGTGCAGATGAACAGCGTCATCAAGCAGATGGCGTAGAAAATCAAGAGCAATTGCCAGTCCTTTGCCACCCAGTCGGGATGATACATGGCCACGCTCGCCACAATGAGCGACGCGAATCCAAAATTGACCGAGAGGGCTAGTTATCTCCAGTCAGCTCTTCGACTCAGGCAGATTGTTCAAGAAACCCAAAGTTCTAATATCGTGAACTTTCAACTTGGTCGAGATGCACATTCACTGTCTCCTGCACGGCGATGGGAATGTGCGATGCTCTCAACGAAGTACCAACTAGGCGCCTGAGAATCCCCAGCCCATAGGAGACATTCTTGGAACGCGCGCACTCGCAGCTCTCCAACTGCCGCACCTCCTCCTCCCCCCTCCCCGTCCGTTGATAGAGGAAAACCAAGGAATTGAAACAAGACAACGGCATCGAGAGAAAGGCCAAATACTTACTGATTGTCCAGTTGCCGATCAGCCACGTCCACCCCGTGATGAACGACAGAGTCGTCTTGCCCCTACTGGCCAGTTGAAAAGACCAATAGTACGGTCCAGCCGAAGTGGGATATCGCGACGCCAGCTCGCCCAAAGAGAGAGCAATGCATTCATCCAGCACCAGAACGACGATCCAGCCGACGAAGATTGCCAGCGGGCCACCGCCGTAGATTGCTGAAATGAACGGACCACCTTCTCCGTATGGGATGGCAGCAATGGCCAAAGACTGAAACAATAGCGTAGCCATTGATCGATTGCGGTTCAGTTCTGGCTTGTAGCCCAGTCGGTCCAGCACAGTGATGTCGTCGATGCTGCCGGCTCGAAGAGAGTTCTTTCTCCCATCGATGACAGGCACCTCCATCTCTGGAGCGGCCTTTTCCGTGTCGACAGTCATGGTGGCGGTGATGATCTGGAGGAGAGAAGGGTTCTGTCCGAGGACACACCGGAATATTTGGAGAGAGAAAGGACACGAGGAGGATGGAGTTTATGGATTGACAGTTTTTGTCGAGGAAAGGGCGAGCCGGGCCCCTCTTATTGCACGTCCACCCTTCATAGGGCAAAGATGCTGTTGTCTCGATCCAATAAAGGAGCTTGCTAGTCTCTGGAGGAGGCGGAGGCGAGACTCACGAACTGATTCCCGAAATCATGATCCTAGAATCATATGTGAGGGGGCGTATGGTGAGCATGCAACAACAACTGATAGTAGCGCGATAAAGCATTCGGTTTGATATGGGCGACTGGGAAACATACCCTCTTTGGGCTTAGACGGGGTGGATGCTTGATTACCAGCCTTCCTCCCCCTTGGTGTCCGTTGACTCGATGGTCCCCCCAGACTAAGCTCTTATCAGCACCCAATCATTGCTGGGGAAGAGTTGCTTAGCCCCCCCCCCCTCCCTCCCCTCCCTTGGGATAATAGCTATCTGGGAATCCGGTTTGGTGAGAAGCCTGACAACACGACAAGTGTCATTGCTCTCGAGAGGGAGTGGAGAGGGGGGGGGGGGGGGGTCCGCGGCCCCTTGTACTAAGTAGTCCTTCCTAAATTTCCTGGAGAAACCCCGTCGGCCATGGAACAATGACACCAAGGACATTTGTCCCGCTAGTGCAGAGGCGCCGTCGCTGTGACCCCAAAAAACCATGTGTCACGTCCCAAAAGATGCAGGTACCCCAGGCAAGGGGTATTGTATGTAGGTAGACTAGGCACGACCTAGCCGGTAAAGCACCGACGGGGCAATTCTTGGATCTCGGAAAACTGTGGAGAAGGGAAGGCGACAGCGAGGTAGAGCCCTAGCACCCGTCCTGATACAGACCAGACCCCAGTCCTCGATCCGGCAGATTGCAGGCGAGAGATAAGGCCAAAGGCAAACAAGGATAAGAGAGACTCCGCCACAGCCTTGTGAAGCTAGGTATTCTCATTGCGAGATTCAATTATTGTCATTTGCTTCCCTTTTTGTTTTCCCTTTTCCCTATCGTCCTCCCTCAGGTTTGCCCCAGTTTGAGGTCAAGGGGTTTTTTTCCCTTGCGTTTCCGTGCCATGGTCGTGGTCTCAGACGTCCAGAGGGCCTGGGAGGCCTGTGATCGGACAGACACGGTCTTCATTCTGGTCTGCACCGTCTTCTGCTGGCCCATCATTCCCGCTGTTGGACTCGGCTACAGCGGGTATTCTACGCGACGAAGTGGCCTTGCCTCGTTTATTCCAGCCGTCTTGACCGTCTGCGTCTGCACCATCCAGTGGTTCATCGTCGGCTATGCCCTCGCTTATGGGGATGGCCCCGGCGGCGTCATTGGCGACCTCAAGTATGCTTTTCATCGAGGCGTGCTGGCCGAACCTGTCGGGAGTATTCCGGCCGTGCTGTTCAGCGAGTTCCAGCTGGTGTTTCTAGCCACGGTCTGTGCCATTGCCATTGGAGGCGCTTGTGAACGTGGTCGCATTCTTCCCTTGATTCCCTTCATCTTTGTATGGTAAACCCCCGGGCTTCCCTTTTTTGACCAGGCTTGATTCCTGCCCACTAACCATATTCATCCAGCTTTGGTCCACCTTCATCTACTGTCCTCTTGCTCACATGGTCTGGGGCGGAGGGTTCCTCAGTGAGCTTGGGGTGCTTGACTTTGCTGGTGGGACGCCGGTGCACATCTGCAGTGGCGCAACGGCCAGTGCGATCAGCCTCTACCTCTCTTATCCGGTGTTTCGCTCCCGAAGATCCGATGTCCGAACGCCTTCTCATCTCAAGTTGCATCGGCCGCACAATTCCATGTGTCAGTTATTGGCCATGATCATCATCTGGGGTTCGTGGTTGGCGTTTGATGCTGGCACCACCCTCACCCTCAGCTTCCAGTCGGTCATGGCGCTCTGCGTGACGAATCTGTGTGCCTCGGCCGGTGCCTTGACGTGGGCGTCCATCACCTACTTCGAGACCGGTCGATGGTCACTCGACTCGACGTTCATGGGCGCCATCGCCGGTCTGGTCATGATTACTCCCGCAGCGGGTTTCATCGACATTCCAACCTCGCTCTGCTTCGGCATCTTTGGAGCCGTCGTCTGCCGCCAGGCTTTGCGCATCAAGTTCACCGACTTTGCGCGAAGAGTGCGCTGGGTCGACAATGGGGACACCTTTGCCACCCACTGCGTCGGCGGCTTTCTCGGTACCATCGGCACCGGACTCTTTGCCCAAAAGGCCGTGGCCGCCTATGGAGGAGTCGAAGTGGACGGTGGTGTATTTTTTGACGGCAACATTCGCCAACTAGGGATCCAAATCGTCGAGGCACTGATCGGCTTCACCTGGTCATTCGTGGGATCGTTTGTGATCATCGCCCTGATCGACTGCATTCCGGGCCTCGAGGTGCTCGCAGAGGATAAGTGCGTTAAATCACATACCAACGCTTGTTGTCCATTCGCTGACAGACCTACAGGGAAGTCAATATGGGGATGGATGCATCTCAAATGGACGAGAGCCTGTACGAGGCACAATGGGCCGGGGAAGAGGACTATAAGCCTCTACCCAATGGCAATATCGTGTTGGACTAGAAATGGCGTTACTCTTCCAAGACTATAGACGTGAGAGGTAGATAGAAGTGAGACTAGACAGATACTGTAGGACAGGATAGAGCGAGTCCAGATTGTAACTTTAGATCAAGTGCATAAAGGATTCTGGCATTCGCCCTTCTCGGACCGCAATGCAAAAATTTTATTCTCTTTTTACATCTACATTTTTACCTTTCCCCATAGCAAAGGGCTTCTACATCAAGAACAGGGCAAAAAGACAAAAAATGACCAGATTGAGGCTCGAACTCAAGACCTTCTCCGTTTGATCAGAAGATGTTAAGGAGATGTGATAACCACTGCGAAGAATGTTAGTAAATGAATGATCGAGGATTGTCATTGGGGTTGACTAACACTACACCATCCGGCCGATTTGTGGTAATTGTTGAGGTCTCATCGGCAAATATGATATATAATCAAAATAGTCTACAGTGTGGGGTTGAAAGTCCATGTTCGTTCTCTTAAGGCCTTGGCATTTCCGTAGCTTGCCCTGTACGACTCGACAGTATGTACCTCGTACCTCCGACTTAATGTGTTCCTGTTGACTAGACCAATCACCTCAATCAATCAACATGGATAACTAGTTGTAATTGGGCCTGTTTTTTGCCTGGTACACAGCGAGAACAATGAAACACTCTACTTGGTCTATCCTAAATTCTCGAACTGAGGCGTGCCTCGAGTCATTCTTTGTCCTTGCCACACTTCGGATTGAATGTGGCATGAGACAGTCATAAGACAGTTACCACTCGAGACATGGAGCCATGTCTGATCACCTTCAGTTGTGCCATGTTATCAATCTCAGGACGGAGAGTGCTGAATTAACTGCTACGCTGATGTCTGGTGAGTTCCTTTGATGGTCTTTGTTTCGCGTGCCTTTATTCCGCTCTCGGATACGTGGCAGCGGTCACCAGCGATGAGGTGAATCATACTACACTGCTTTTTAGCGCAATTTTTCATATGCTTGCAATCTCCTGCTTCATAACGTTCCTGCCTTTACTTCGACACTGTCAATATCTCGAAGATGGAGGAGGATGGACCGATCCCCCTTGGCCACATTCCGCCGCACGGACAACCGAGCCCTCCCGAGCCTCTCAGAAGCTGCAATACCGATGACCTCCCGCAAAGCACGTCGCCGCAAGAAAGCGACCCATGTGCTGAAGGCCATGCCCTTGAGAGTGTGGCTATTGAGTTATACGCGGAGACCCTCTTAAGCCGAGCACATTTGCTCCTTATCAACTCCACGAATGACAATGTCGATACCCAAGAAGATCCTTTCGATCGAAGCAGAGAAGCTTTGGCGGAGGCCGAATCATTGTGTTTTGCTGGTCAGCATCCAGTGAGCGACGCACTAGTCGCTAAATGCTGGTATATCAGGGGCTGCCTTGCCGATGTTTGTGGGGACGACGAGAACGCATCGAGATGTTTCATAGAGACAACAAACCTTGATGGGAGTTACAAAAGCCTCGAGAGGGTGAAATGGTACCTTCAACGCCAACATGATCTTGAAGACGTGTTCGGCAGATGGAGTGACTCAAAGGATCTGGTCTTGAGCCCGATTGACGGGTATCACCTGGGTGGCCTCGATGCAGGAAACGACTCATCGTCGACAACGTCGTCTCCCAGTCCGAGCATGTCAGACTTCCGACAAAGTGAGCTGTACCAGTTCCTCATGTACGATATAAAGCATAAAACCGTCCAGGAAAGCCGGCCCGCGGCAGACGACCTGTCTCCAGTTTCCCCATTACACCAGCTGCATCACTTGCCGCCCATTGCCACGCCGCAGAAAGCCCCCTCGGCGGATAAGGTCGACCAACTGGTCCAAAAGAAAATCCACAGTCCGGGCGGTCGAAAACGGGCGTCCCCGAAAACCCGCGAGACATTGAAAGGGTCCGAGAACTCCCCAGTGAGAGACCTTTTCCTTCTGCAGGTTGAGGGCAATCAGAAGAAAGCGAAGTTGGCAGAGGAGGCACGGATGCGCCAGATCCGAAAAGACAGGACACGACAATCTGCAGCACATTCTCGGCGTCTTTCAGGTAGAGAGGCGCTTCTATCCGATGGCCTCAGTATTGCTGGGCTCGACACCACGACTACGCCAGCAGAAAACGGTGCCGCGTTAACTCGCAAGCTGACGATCAACACTCGTGGGATAAGACGGCAGTCAACATCGTCAAAGTCAAGCGACCGCTCCCCAGCTCTACCTAGTCCGTTGAAGAAAGCCTCTTTGCCAGGCGATGCACAAGTCGGCGCTGACGGGCGTGAATCAGAGGTTGCCGAATAGCTATCAAAAACATTTTTTACACATCAGTCTAATCCAACAAGGACATGTGTCGACCCCAATGACAATCTGGTTTACTCCAAGCCTTCCATATTGAGTGACACCTACTCGTACCTCATCTCGATCCACTTTTGCGGCCCTAAAGACATCAACCGTCCCCAAACGTCGGTGCTGCACGCCACCTCCAGAACAAGCTTGTGGTGGTTATAATTACCGTAATGTAGAGGGGTTTCAAAGAAAGGTCAAGCGAATCTGAATCTGAGGACATACTGGATGATCCTTCTCCCCGCAACGGCCATCGGCAATGGGGATTACTGATCGATCCATATGCAGTCGACTTGTTCGGTTTCAAGCAACCCTCGATACTGTAGATGACATTTGTGGAACAGGTCTTCCAAAGGGAAGTAGATTATGTTTGGCCACACGGACATTCTGTCTTGGATTAGTTGTGTAGCTAGGAGACAAGAGAGGGTCTTGCAATTAGATTATTATTCATCGGAGACTGGGCTCTTGATCGGTGCGTGAGAGAGATGACGCCCAGAGTATGCCGCATACATAGTACATAGATCCCAGAGAGCAGGAATAATTGAGTAGGCGGTCTGGAAATCATCATCACAAGAAGTGTCCCCCTCTCACTCACTCACTCACTCGCATCTTCTTAGAGACCACTGTCCCCATCTTCTCTGCCGTACTTGTCTGCCGCAGTCATGACCCTTACGACTGAAACGCAGACCATCCCTGCCCAACGTCTGGTGTACCGCTCGTCCATCTCGTTCTCCACCGCGGAAGCGCGGCTTCGCTCATCAATCCAGCCCGCGCCGAGCTCGTCCGCAGGCGGTATACAACAGGACCAGGGTCAGGGTCAGAGCCAGCTACAGCAACGACCACTACCACCAACAGACCGAGCGACCTGGGAAGCGCGGATCAAGACGCTGGTCGGCCCGCACGGGTTCATGTACTTCCACGAATTCGACCACGGGGCCTGGCTGCCTCTGTACGCGCCGCCGAGCGCAACCGTCGTTACGGCCAGTGGGGAGACCAGAAACCTGGATTGTAAGAGATTCATTCTGGGGAATCCGATGATCGCCATCACGATGCTCGAGCATGATCTCAACGCTGGGCTTTGTGTCCCCGTCGAGTTGTGTCTTGTGGAAGAGCCCGAGGGCGGCGTGAGGATCGTGTGGTACAAGCCTGCGTCCTTGATCGCGGGCTATGAGCGTGTGAAGCAGGAGCTGGTGGGCGCAGCGGACGGGCTGAGTGGGAAGCTGGACGTGTTTGTCAGGTGGGTATTGAGGGACGAGGGAAGTGAGGGAAGGCTGTGAGATTAGTCTGCTACCAAGTGGCATTTAGCTTGTCTCAAATGTTGCCCGTCCTTGAACTACTCATGGTAAATCTCTATCGTGAAGAGCCAGTGGAGTGTCGAGCGAGGCTGTTGAACAGTCATCGGCCATGTGAGTTGTGTTCAGTAATTACGCGAGTACAGAGGCAGCATCTGTCCTCGAGTACGATGCTGTCGACCAGAAAGGAGCGCACGGATGTCGGGACATGAACAGGGTAGAGAGAAAACTCTGGCATAGCATGACGATGTTCTCACTACGATTTCACATCGAAGCAGGTATGTTGACCACGACTGGTACTCTTCCCAAACTCCAACCAACAAGGGTTCCAAGCTCATGAAAAGTATCGCCTGTCAGAGTAAATCCGTCGGTACCTCCTGTGCAGGCCGGCACGAAGCCAAGTCACCCAACACAGGTCAAAGATCATCACCACTCTCTTGTTCAAGCCGTGATCCGAAGACCGCAGACAAGAACGCAGCGAGAGTAAACATAAGGCTTCACTCTAGGGTACCGAGGACTTTGTGTCGTCAGCCAGGTTGAGGATTCTGTGGCTCGTGTGAAGAGCTCAGAAGAGGACGTTTACTATAGAAATGATTCTATGAAGTCTGTGGGTGATTGACGATTAGCAAGAAACACATGTGAAGGGGATTTGACCATCAATTCTATGAGGTCGAGGGTGAACGTACAAAGTCGACATGAAGAAAAGAAAAAATAAATTGAGAAAGACGCAGCCAGCTTATATACCCGGGGAATTTTTCGATCAACGCCAAGAGCGCTACCCGAATCAGTATTAGTACTAAGTTAGAGCCTCGTTCCAACCTTGGCGAGATGGGCTGTTGGTTCCTTGGCAACCTAAGCACGTGATTGAGCCAACCGAATCGGTCAGTGTCCACTCCTTGCGAATACTGGAAATTTTTCAGACAACGGAGTCACTACCGTGGCCGTTATGACAGCACCATTGTCCCCCAACGATTCCTTTTCTTGCCTAAACTCACCTGTTGGGCGGCGATCCAGCTCATTGTGTGGCAGGGGTTCAAATTGGCGCTGAAAAGGAGCCGAAAACCACTCTTTGACCTATTCGGCCAGTGCAGCTCGTCTGCTCTCATTCTCCACCATGACAACCACAACTTCCAAATACTCCAGCACCCGCTATCACGACCAATCGTTAAGGGAATTCTTCACCTTCGAGGAAGTTGTGCTCAAAGGGTTGGCGTCTGATGGAGGTTTATTCCATCCTCATGCCGTGCCCAATGTCAGTTCAGAGTACTTGAAGTGGAAAGACCTCTCCTTTTCGGACCTGGCCTTCCAGGTCATGAGACTGTACATCGACGAGCATGAAATCTCGGATCAAGAGCTCAAATCAATTGTCGACCGGAGTTACTCGACTTTCAAACACCCAAAGACGGTGCCGTTGGTCACGTTAGACGAGAGCAAGAATCTCCATCTACTGGAGCTCTTCCACGGACCTACCTTTGCTTTCAAAGATGTTGCCCTGCAGTTCTTGGGAAACCTCTTCGAATTCTTCCTCGTGCGCAAGAACCAGAAACTGGAGACGGGGCATGCGCGCCATCACCTCACAGTGATTGGAGCCACCTCGGGCGACACCGGATCGGCAGCTATCTACGGGTTACGGGGGAAGAAGGATGTTAGCATTTTCATCATGTTTCCTGACGGGAAAGTCTCGCCAGTCCAAGAAGCACAGATGACAACTGTTCTCGACCCCAACGTACATTGCTTGAGTGTTCAAGGTACGTTTGACGATTGTCAGGACTATGTCAAGGCCTTGTTTGCAGATCCCGAAATGAATAAAATCCACCACCTGGCGGCTGTCAACTCGATCAACTGGGCGAGGATATTGGCTCAGATCACTTATTATTTTTATGCCTACTTTCAGCTTCTCAAACAGCACCCCGATCTGAAGGAGGTCAAATATGTGGTGCCAACTGGCAACTTTGGTGACATCTTGGCCGGTTATTATGCAAAGCGCATGGGACTACCAGTGGCCAAACTTGTGATAGCGACCAACGAGAATGACATCTTGCATCGCTTCTGGCAGACGGGGTCATACACCAAAAAGCAGAAGCCAGCGGAAGAGCCGCACGAAGGCGTCAAGGAAGATGGTGCTCAGGCGCATGAGGATGGCGTCAAGGAGACATACAGCCCCGCCATGGATATTCTTGTGTCTTCAAATTTTGAACGGCTTCTCTGGCACTTGACCCTAGAACACGAGCTCGATCAAAACCCCCACGTCAAAGTCGAATCTTCTGTAAGAGTCGCTGGCTCAAAGATTGACGGTTGGTTCAAAGAGTTGAAACAGACCGGATCATTTACCGTGGATAGGCAAATTTTGGACAAGGCGCGTGATATCTTTGGTAGCTCTAGAGTCAGCAATTCAGAGACTCTGGAAGCCATTCGAGATTGCTACAGAGGGGACGCCATCTCCAAGAAGGGATATGTGCTTGATCCTCACTCTGCGATCGGCGTGGTTGCGAGCTTGCGAGAAATCTCGGCTGCCGGCTCAGCATCTAAGGTCCCGGTTGTGTCGCTAGCGACGGCCCACCCTGCTAAATTTGCCGGCGCAGTCGAACTGGCCTTGCAGGAAGAGAAGGGGTTCGACTTCAGCAAGATCCTGCCTCAAGAATTTATCGGGTTAAGCGATAAGGAGAGAAAGGTGTTGAAGGTGTCGGCAACGGAGGGACTGGCTGGGATTCGCCAGATCATTACCCGGGAGGTGGAAAAGGAAAAAGAGGTCGGGCAAAATGGCGCTTGAGCTGACATTGGTAGAGAAAAACAAATCCTTGCAGTACATTTGATTTTGGTGGCTAGGAGGGTGTGGAAGATAGACTCTTGTCGTTGAGCACAAGCAATAACGAAACGTCTACTCCTGTTCAAGATCGAGGACTTGGGTCCGTAGCTCTCTGAACTTGAACAGGCAGGGCAATGCTTCCAGTAATCGATTTCGACTCGTACATATTGTGCGTACGCCGTACACCAATCCCACCGCTCGGCTCCTGTGAGATGGCAACAGTCCAAATTCTGACTTGCGTGCCAGCTGGATCTAGGCCGATACGGGGAGTGTCTTGGTCTCTTTCCTTGTTTGACACTTTCTTGCTTGTATCTCGTATTTGTTGCTTGCAGAGTCTGCGAGCGAAGGAGACGAACAGAGGCCGACATGCGCGGCTCCTCGTATATTCAGCCGCGAGGCAGGCGTTCCCTCCTATTGGTCTGTTTTCAAAGTTTTTAAACGAGGTGTGAATCAAAATCGGCAATGTTCCGGTTCATTAGACCCAGGTCTCAATTCTACGGCATGGGAGGCCTGGCACCACCTGGCGATCGGGTGGATGTCTGCCTCCTGAACATCTCTGGAATGGTGGATGCATCTGTAATAACTGCCTGTGCATGGTGGCAGAATGATGAAGTACTCGGCACGGCGATAAAGGACGTCCGCAGGAGATATTCAACCGGTGACAGAATATACAGAAGTGACGAGAATCCGTGTCGAGGGTCCCAATATTCGTATTCAGACTTCGACCCGTTCTGCTGCGATGCCAGCCTGAGGCAACGAGGGAAGTTAGCCACGGCAAGACGGAGTTCGAGTCTGAAACGTACTGGATTAGCACCCTTCCTATGTAGGATTCGCCAGGCTGGTCGACAATATTATTCGGAGTACGAGGTACTTGGAAGTAGGTGTAAGCCAATTTAGGCTTGGGGGCCAGCCAGCCCTAGTGGCCCTGCTCCCTGCGCCACTTGGCCACAATGAGGTACGAGCACTCGGTAATAACTCGCTGGTTCTCGCACTACTACTGGCTCGGTGCCACCAGTTGGGGTGCCAGTGGGTGCTAGCCACCCGCCAGCTCGTTCTCCAGATGCTTACCAAAGAAAACCCCTGCCCGATGTTCTATCTTGGGGCTCACTAACCCACTCGCTGAAAGGTTGTGCTGTGTGCGGCTGCCAGCCCACGCCGTAAGCTATCTCCTTTTGGGCCGACATCATGGCCAGAACTGTGCAGCTGAAAAGCCAACATACAGCACTGTGTCGGGATGTCGGTGTCAGCCCTGAACCCATGCTATGCGATGGCGTGAACTTGATGGTAGGTTCGTTGCTTGCGTGATTGTTAACCACTGTTTGTTGCAACTTCTCTCTTGATGATCTGCTGTTCTTCGTGACCGACGATCAACGCCCGCCATGGAGTCCGGCGCAAAAAGGTGAGAGTGACAGCGTCCTCCCAGGAGGGCTGGGCCAGTCCAAGTCGGACGGGTGTAACTGACCTACTTCTATAGGAGACACATTCCACACTGGCCGCCCTTCAAACAACCCTACCAACAGCTGGGGTCTGCAGACAATGTCCAACTAACCCCCCTGCCTCCTACTGGCGGCTCGAGCCTGCCGAGCGCGAACTTCTTCAGTCCAGACTTCAACAGCAACACAGCCTACACCCCGGATCCTCTGGCCAGTACACCACAACCCCTCCTCCCATCCCCGAGCAAGGCGAGCACTGCGCGGTCGCAACGGAAAAGAAGAGGATGGAGGACTAGTTCGCGGATAGCGCTGGGTTGCGCAGTGTTGGTGCTGGTAACCAATGTTTGCTTGACCATTGGAGTAGTGACGGGGGGTATGGACATGATGGGTGGTATGTTGGACCTGAATTGCCGGTACTCTAGTCCAGAGAGAAATACTGACCCAAGTCAGGCATCTACATGGTCTATGCCGGGAGTTGTACAAAGACCGAAATGAAGGACACCTGGATTCATCTGGCGCTCAATATTGTGGCCACCGTTTTGCTGGCAAGCTCGAACTACTGCATGCAACTGGTCTCGTCTCCTACTCGCAGCGAACTCGACAAGGCCCACGCCAAGCAGAGATGGTTGGACGTCGGCATACCCAGCATCCGAAATCTCGGTTCTCTGCGAAAGAAGAAGGTCATTCTGTGGTGGCTTCTGGGGATTTCATCAATCCCACTCCATCTGGTGTAAGTCTCATCGCTTCGATGTGAGGGCAAGGGGCATAGGGCTAACGGTCTAGTTACAATTCCATCTTCTACTCTGCCCTTGCGACGAACAACTATAGTGTCCTGTACGCCTCCGAAAGCTTTGCACAGGGCGCTAGCTACGACAAGACCCAGTTTCCCGACAGCGAAGAATGCAATGTTACCGATATCCAGGCCCATGCCGCCAAGGACTTTGTCAGGCTCAACAATGAGGATTGCATCCACGCATATGCACGGGATTTTGTTGAGGATCGCCGTAATGTGATTGTGGTGGTCAAGAATCCTCCTCCAAACGAGGGTTCCCTTTTCAAGATTGCCGACAACGAATTCCCCAAGGTCATCACCAGCAAGTACAATGCTTTTGCGTGGATCTGTGACGATCCTGATGTTGTCAATCAAACACACGCATGCTGTGAGAACCAATGGGGGTTTGTGCCATGCTCGAAGATCACGCCGAAACTGGTCGACATCGCGGATCAGTGGTCTACCGGCGGGTTTGAAGTCGACCATTGCCTCTCGGAGCCCGTGGAATCCCAATGCCACTTGCATTTCTCCCTCATCCTTATGAGCGTGGTTCTGGCCTTTAATATTCTCAAAGTTGTCGGAATTGCCTACGTCACCTTCTGGTTAGGCGAGGCTCCCCTGGTGACCGTGGGTGACGCGCTACAGTCCTTTCTGCGCAATCCTGACTCCACGACGGAGGGAATGTGTTTGGCAAGCCACTCGAGTATTGTCGCCTCGTCCAAGCTTGGCTACAAATCAATGCCCATGAGATACGACCCTCAACAGCATCGATTTTTCGAAGCCGCAACCTGGAAACAGTGGGCTTTTCTATTAGGCTTGTTCACATTCGTGGGCGCGGGGACGGCAGTCTGCCTCGCACTTGGAATCGAGAATCTGAAGGGCGACAGAACTATCCAGAACGCATGGTCGATCGGCTTGAACACAGTCAAACCCCAAAATCTGATCATGGGGTGGAATCTACCGGGCTACGGCAACACTTCTATCGCCATTTCCACACTCATAGCCAACGCTCCGCAAGCGTTGTTCTCCTTCCTCTACGTTTGCTACAACAGTCTCTTCACAGTCATGTTCCTGTCACGCGAACTGATGCGGTTCAGTGTCACGGCTGGTCGAGGACGGAAGTATCTGCGCGTTAGTGAGGCCAAAGGCGAGCAAAAGTCGACATATTTCCTCAACTTGCCGTTCAAGTATGGCATACCTCTGCTTGTCGGCTCGGGGTTGATGCACTGGCTTGTGTCGCAGAGCGTCTTCCTGGCAAACATTGCTATTATTCCTCGCGACGGGACAGTGCCTATGCAAGACGAGATTACCACGGTGGCCTATTCGCCGATAGGTATGCTCTTCCTCCTCTTTCTGGGCTTTGTCCTCCTCGTTTTCCTCATCGCCACGTCATTTCGGAAGCTACCCTTTGGAATGCCCATTATCGGGAGCAACTCAATGGCCATCAGTGCTGCGTGCCATCTGCCGCCAGGCACTGACCAAAGCGAACGCGAGGAAATAGTGCTAAGACCGCTGAACTGGGGTGCCGTGCCCGGTTCAGGCAAAGTCATGGACTTGGGTATCCATAATCCTTACACTCAGAGCTTTCAAAGCGGTGACCTGGACGAGGACGGAACCGGCTTTGGACACTGTTGCTTCAGTGACCGGGTCCTGGATCCGCCAGTGAAGGGCAAATTCTACATCTGAAAAGTTTTGCTGAATGTCTAATGGTTACGATCATTCTTTGCCCCACTACGATGTTTTCAGCAAGTCGGGTTATCTCAACGGACCTTGTGCGACTGTTTTACGGGTTACCCTTGTGGCTGAAGTATTTTACGTGGGGTTTCTTTTTTTTTTCTCTTTCTTCTGCATAGCGATGGCGTTTCTCCAGCGGGTCGAGAGGTTCGGATACCTATTTCCTGTGCTTATTGATACACATAACAGCCACGAAGACGGAAGGGTGGCGGAGAGGAAGCCTTGTTCCAGGGAAACCAGAGGTGGCGACCCCAATACCCTCTTTTGTCTTGGACACGCCCCAATCATGAGAGCCGGAAGTCATGCTCGGGACGAACGAGGGACGAGATGAGATAGACGACGTTCCGCTCGCGGATGTGTACGTAGAATAAATATGCGATGGCAGGGATGTCCTCTATGGAAAAAGTATATCAATATATGTGTGTGTGTGACCTGTGAATAAATAACTAAAAGAAAGAATTGTAGGGGGTTGGGAGGAGTATCTGATCATCCAGGTTTAATAATTCTTCTTCATGCGTGTTGGGCTTCCAAGTCTAATGCAATACAATCCACCCCAATCGTACGCATATGCATACGGATGAATGTTGCCCGTGTCGACGTCGACGACGACGGTACGTCGCCATGTCTACCTAGGTACGAGGTAGGTTGGCTAACACATATGTATATATGTGTACCGGGAGGGCGGGTATGTTATGCCTATCTATCAGTGCTACCCATCTTGCCCATGTCTTTGTCCTGTCCTGTGATGCAAGGCAATAGAATCCATACCAATCCACTGCAAGGGCTCTCTCCTGTTCCCGTGCCGAACTGCGTCGCAGGAACTCATGGTACGTAAATAGGTTGCACAGGGCGAGAAAAGATGCACGGAATCGTCATGTTATCATATGTCATGTCATTTTATGTGATGTATTTTCAAAAGACCATGTAATCGACTTCAAAGGTCCGTCCAGTCATCCCTTCCCTCCCACCCACCCAATGCAGTACGTTGCAATGCAGTGCCGTGCCCCGCCCATTTATAAACCATGCATGGTATCTTTTTCCCTACGAAAGAAACGAGAAACTCCTGCGCTAGAATATGCAAAAGCCAGCAAATCTTGCATTTCGTTCGTTCCAGAGGAGGCGGCGGGCGCGCGCTATGAATGCGGTGCAAAACTGACCGAGGGGCCCGAGGCGTCGAAGACGACGAATTGAGACTTGAAAAAGACGTCGCCGTAGATGGCAAAGGGGAGGCCCTGGTTGGATTGGAGACCACCGAAGCAGACTGTCATCACACCCACCCGAATGGGGATCGTTAGCTGGTTTCTTCTACTCTTGTTTCTCGGGATAAAAAAAGTTATGGGTGATAGGGCGAGGGAGAAAGGCAGAGATAAAAAGGTCACTCACACTGCTCCCCTGTCCGTGTGTCCGTGCCCACATTCGCAAAGTTCATCCCGTCGCCTGATACCGTGGCCATGTTATTTCCAATAGCCACCTGCAAGTCCGGCAATTGCGTGTTGCACGGGAAAATAACACCACCCGCGGCTTGTGAGATCTGGGCGCCATCCACGGTGCCCCAGTACGCGGTGATCATTTCATCAGGCACGAGCATCAGCGACGTGCCTGTGTCGAGGATCGCTGTGCCGCCAGCAATATTGATAGTTTGGCCTTGCACCGCGGCGGTCGCGGAGTCGACTTCCCAGAAGCCGCGCGACGAGTCGACTGGCGCACTGGTCAACTGGCCGCTGAACGACGAGGTGTCGATGTTGCCAAACTCGTACGAACCTACTTCGCCAGATTTTAACTGAGCAGTAAACACCGGAAGCGTGAGATCCGGAAGGACGTTGTCGAAAAATGTCTTTTGCGGAGTGGGTTGAATGGTGTTGAGTTGCGAGAAAGCGAGACCAACCAGACCATTTGCTGCAGAGTCCGTCACAAAACTGTCGGCGACGGTGTCCGGCAGGCCGATTGCTTGGGCAGCTACGGTGGCGCCGCCGATGTCGAATTCGTCAACACCAACAGGACCGGAGGCAGAGGAGCCATCGCCATACGAGATGTTGAAGGTACTACCCTGCAGAGTATTCTGGAAGGTGGTTGATTTGGTGGGATCGTAGATCGTGTGGCCTTGTTGGGCATTGGCAGGGAGGTTGGTGTTGAAAACCCATCTGTTCGTTGATGTCTGTGTCAGTAACAATGTGTCGTAGACAACAAAACGCAAGCATGGGAAGTGACATCGTACGTGTCTGATGAGCCGCTGTCAAAGTTCAGGACCAGCGTTTGTCCACCGACGTTCACCGGAGACAAGAATTGGGCATCATTCTGCGTGGGCGAAGCACTTGTCTCGCCGTCCTCGTTTCCCGTGGTATCAAGCTGAGCCTCGGTGGTTGCCTTGATGGTCGTGGCCACCTCCCCACCAGGCAAGAATTCGATGTCGCCAAATCCAAATTTGAACATTGCCTTTCGATATGCAGCTTTGCCATTTGGCCTGTAGTTGTGTTGCTGTATCCGAGGGACTTTAAAGGACCGTTTCTGTTTTATTTGGATAGGGCTCGCGAAGATTGTTGCCACGAAAAGAGTGACCAAAAGGAAAGGATAGATTTGAAGCATACTGGGCCAAAGACTTGGGATAAGGATATGACCGAAACGAAAAAGATCGGCGGAGCTCAGCCCACTGGTACCGGACCTGTCAAATTGAACTCGAGGGCGATTGAAGAAATGAATACAGTGAAGGACCGGCCCTCGATATGTACCAAGAAGAAAAAAAATGATAGACTGTACGAAAAGGAAAGTGACAAGGCTGGAGAGACAACAAGGATGGAGGAGTGAAGAAACGGACTGGAGGCCAACATTTTAACAGAATAAAAGTGTAAACTGGATGTTGGTAGAATTACTCCGCAGTGCTGCGGCCTCGTCTCGAATTGTGCTAGACAGTCTTGGGCCACGCCATCTGCATGTCTCAGGATCGTGATCAACAGGTCAACGATGGACCTGGTGAGCTCTCGATTGAGGCCCAGAGCCAGGGAGGGGATCTCGGTGTCAAGAAGGGAGCTCTCCACCGACGGCATGATTCTCGACTGGCCAGATCCGAAGGAGCCAACCATAGGGGCGGACAGGAGTGCATGGCGGTGGCAGTGTGACGTTGAGGCCACTGGATGTGGATGCAACTCCGTTTGCTTGTCGAGGCTGAAGAGTCGGAGGTCTACCGAACGGGGGCCAGGGGGATGGGAATGTGTGGTTCTCAGTTGCACTGGTGAGAAATGATGGGGTTGGATGGAAGAGAAAAGGGGTGAAGGTGAAACTGAAGGCGCAGAAGTTTGAGTTTCATCTTCGGTCTGAGTTTCCGCAGCGGGACTGACGCTAGCCACTTGTGGATCTCGGCGTCTTGGCACGCGCCTCGCCTGTTTTTGTCCAGAGGGGTGGACACGACGGGAAAATACGAGGAGCCCCAGTCAGTCAGGGCCAGTTCGCCTTCATGGTGTCCAAGTTCCTGTGTTGGCGTTGGGCCTTGCTCATGCACGCTCGGTACGAGGAACAGAGGACGAGACACACATTCTGCCCTGTGCAACCTGAGACCAGAAACCTGTGGCATTACCCCACAGCCTCCGTTCCGTCACTGTCTCTCCGAGCTTCATCTGCCGCCCAAAACGTGACGCCAAAGCTCATGTGGGGTTCGGCGTGGGAGTGCCTGATCTGGTATGCTCACAGCAGATCACAACAGCGCCTGCACTCCGGAGGCTGTTATGGCTGGACTGCCGGAGAGGTGATAAGAATCCCGCCTTCCCCGGACAAAGATGAGCATTTGGGTTTGCACCAACCACCGCGGACAAGAGCAAAGGAAACCAACTCCAGTATTCATGAACAATGGATGGTTGCGCTCTTATATTGGTCCGTCAGGAAGAACTTGGTCGGGGTCCTCGCCTATCATCTGGCCCACTGTCCTCACAACTTGTCGTAAAGCCTTGCAGGCCGGACTGTCGGGAAAGCTATCCATAAAGCTTTCACCAAAGTCGCATGCCATTCCGATCCGCGGGTCAAGTGGTACAGAACCAAGGAAGGGTATACCCATCTCCTGACATAATTTCTGACCTCCTCCGGTCGTTGCTCGGAAGATCTGTGACTCGTGTGTGCATTTGGGACAGACGAAGCCGGACATGTTTTCGACCAGCCCTAGGACCCTGATCCCAGCCTTTTGACAGAAATCGATCTCTTTCCGCACGTCCAGCAGAGACACTTCTTGTGGCGTCGTCACCACTACCGCACCATCCACGCCGGATTCTTTGAGGAATGAGTTAACTGATAGGTGTTCGTCTGATGTGCCCGGTGGTGTATCGACAATCAAGTAGTCCAACTCGCCCCATTCGACATCTTTTAAAAATTGTTTGATTATCCCATTCTTTTTTGGCCCTCGCCATATAATAGCGTCGTCTCTGTTGGGTAACATAAACTGAATGCTCATAACTCCAAGGTTGTCGGTGACCCAGACCGGGCTCCATCCGGCATTGCTAACGTGTATGGTTTCGCTCTCCACGCCCATCATCTTCGGTATGGAAGGACCGCAGATATCTGTGTCCATAATGCCCACTGTCGAGTCTGGGTTGGCGGCAAAGGCGTGCGATAAGAGCGAGGAAAATGTAGACTTGCCCACTCCGCCTTTTCCTGAGAGGACCAAGATCTTGTGTCTTACTCCAGCAAGTCGTTCGGTAATGAGAGGAATATCGGGGTCGGGGCCTTTCGGGGCAGAGGCGCAAATTGCTTGGTTGGGACAGCCATTGCATGCGTCACCCTTGCCTGCTTGCTCGGATTCAGGACCAGGACAATGCTCTATGAAGCAAGTTAGCGAACGGCCAGGTTAGACATTTGCGACAACTGCAACCCCTCACCTGGCTCTGGAGCGACTAGATCTGGCTTTCGTTTCAAAGGGTTTTCGAACGCGTCGGGTACGGGCTCGTCGAAGGAGGGCGCCATATTTAGAGAGACAGGATCGGCTGGAGAGGAGGGAGATCGAATCTGGAGTGATATATGATGGGTGTTGAAGGTTTTCGTGCAGATGTGGTTTGGTAAAAGCAGCGGGGTAGATGGATTGGTAATTGGTTTTGGGGTCCCCGATGGGCACTGATAAAACAGGAAAAACTGCAGACGCTGAGATGTCAGGTGAGGCTAACCGCCAAATGCGCCGCTTTAAAAACCCCGCCCCTCCGAGTATATCTCTCCTCCTCTAAGAGTATGTACCCATTTCATACCTCTTTATTAACTACCTGTCGCAATCTCAAGTCGCCAGCGTCTCTGTATACATGCCTGTCCCACTATCGTGTGGTCAGTCGTCAGAGTCCACAAGGTCGATCGATGTCCCAACCGGTGCCGTATCAGTCGGATGGAGTATCCCCGAAAGACGTTGCAATGCGATACCCGTTACAGTATACAGAGGCATTTGCCGTTAGTTGAAAGCCTGTGCTGGAGCTAAAACGCCCCACGTGACGTTCCTAACTCGGAAGTAAAGTTGAGACAGAGCCTTCTTTCCACTCCAAGACTTTCGTCTCCTGTGGAATGCCATACTCCTCTCACTGTTGTCTCACAAACATCCTGCCACAGCATCGACCTTGTACACTAAAGAATGAGCCTACCTGTTGGACCCAGAAAACGACGCTTCCATCAGCAATCCAAGAATGGCTGCATCACGTGCCGAGGGCGAAAAAAGCGTCGTTCTCAAAAACCCATCTGCATATGCTGTCGCCGCAATTCGTTGACATGCATATAGCCTTCGACAACCGTGCCAACGACGACGACGATGACCATGGTTGTAAGGTACGGGCCAATTGAAAACAACTTGAAACCCCCTCGGTAGGGAAACATTCTCAAACTGAGCATTATATCACCTTCTCGTTTCACAACTCCAGCAGCCTCAACAATTCCGACCGAGAGCATCATTGCTTGACTATCTCACGTAAGAATGAGTCGTCAGCAGAGCTTGAGCAAATCATGCCAAAGGTACAGCGCCGTGTCGCATCGTCGCCCTGAAATCTGCCAGATATCTTGGGCACAGCCGGAGCGTAGAGACTTTTCCTGCATTAGCCATGCTGGCTGCGAGGCTGCAGCCGAGGAGTCCCTTCGTCCATTGTTCGATTCCAATGCCCATGAGCAACCAGGATATAATGCACGCCATCCTGGCGACCAGCGCGTCCCACGTGCCAGCGCTTGGCAAGATGGCTCGATCTATCCCACTACAAAAGGGCATTATGCAGTGGCGTTGTGTTCGGCCAAGCACTGTATTGCCTCTTTTTTCCACGGCCAACAAGGAGATCCTCTTCCACTACTGGCGCTCTTGTTAACGCTCTGCCAGTTCGAAGTAACATTGCCGCCCTCGATGACTACTTGCTCACCTTGTAACGTAAAGCACCATGCGGGGACCAAGTAGCGTCACGAGGTGAGAAAGCAGCTCTAGGACAGCCTTGAATGTGTCCTTCTAGGACTGTGATATTGGCTCGGGTCCGTCTGTCTCCAAGCTCCTGACTCCGGACCTTGAAAGATGTTTGGACCCGTCAAACCTAATGCGGAAGTCCGTAGTGGGGGGCAAGAACTAGACGTGGTGATATTGGCTAGACGCGCTGACGGCCGGCTGCGGACAGACCTTGACTCAGCGCCTGTAATCCTTTGACACATCTCTCTAGCAAAGTATCCAAGTTATACTGCTCTTCATGAGTCGAGCACCACGATTTCAAAATCAAGGTAATTCGAGAGCTTGTCCCTGAAATAAAACGAATCCGCACCCAGCTGATGGCGGCAAGGTCGACGGCGACACCGGGAGCGCAGGCTCTCTGATGCGTCATCTTCTCGGAGAAATTAGAGCGCGTTGCCGTTTCCTGTCTTGACCAAGCCATGTCAAGCCAGCCAGAAAAAGCATTGAAATAGCAGGCCGAGCGAGGAATTTTGGGTGCACGTGGGTGAGTGAAGGGTGCCCAGCGAGGCTGGTGAGGGAAAGGTGTGAGCTGGAATTCGACATTTTAAAAGCGGCGCTGGTTGGGTAAGGCGCCTCGGCTTACCTCCCCTACCTCCTTGTGGACCGCCAAGATTTGGGATATCTCCACTTTTCTTTTTCTAGACAGTCACGTGACCGTGCACCACATCCGATTGAATTTGGCCAACCTCTGCTTCCCTTCACTGCCACATGGTCCCTTGTCACTCACTCACTGCCTCTCCAATGCCTGTCTCAACCCCGCGTCCCTGTAAACATTGACATGGATCCGCGTGAAGATCCAAACCGTCTGCCTGCCTCTCCTTCTTCCGCTTTGTATCTCTCTTCTTTTCCGCGGAAGAGTTCTTTTCACCATCATCCGTGAACAACCAACGTCATGGCAGAAATTATGGCTAAACCATCGACTGGAGATTCCGCCACTGAGAATCTGCGCCGACGTAATGCTCCCATCAGGGCAAATACCCAAGAAGATGCCAGGAAAGCCGTGCTCGAGCTGAACGCCCTCGAGGAGAAGGAAGCCAAAGATGAAAAAGATCGCAAGACCTTTGGCCGCACTCCCGATGGCACCGGTATGTACCTTACAACCGCCCAGCTTTCCTCTTTGGGGTAGAATCTCATACTTCCTTCTAGTGTTTAC